GGGAGGGAGGAGAGTCTTTATAGATCGAAATATCGTCGACGATTCGGCGCAGCGGGGGAAGCATGGCGGGTTAATTCCATCCGGCGACGCTCTCGCGTAAACGTCTTCCCCGCGATACCTGTAAAGTTAGTGGCGCCTGACGTATAACAGTTTCGTGGCATCGTGAATACCTTATGGAGATATTATTCGGCGAAAGGAGATCGATAAGGAGTGAACGCGCGCGAACCTGCTTCGAGAGATCGAAAGAAGGGGAGGCGATGAAATAATAATTATACGTGTAAGGGATTTGAGATGGAAAAGCCCGCGAATCTATTAGCCGCGCTATTATCACGTTTCTCGATACGTGGATGGAACGATGGATATATAACATCCGTCCAAATTTGTGGATACACAGGGCATTAACAGCCGCGTCATGTTTTATTCCATATGATTATTAACGCGCAATAAACGCGGTTGAATATTTATGTATATTTAATATTGCGCAAAAATTTGATGGGTTTCGATGAATCACGTTAGCGAGCGATGCTACTATTTTGCGGAAGATTTTAATTTACTTCGATGATCGATTAATGTAATTCGATTTTCTTCTGTCTGTGTAACAATCGTTTCCCGTAAAAACCGTATATATTTGAACTTACTTGGTGAAATTAAAATTCTATAAAATATTAAAAATTTGGGAGGAATTACTTCCATCTTCAACGCTATGAAATTACCATTTACATTTATCGTATCGCGCAATATCGAATCAAATATCTGTTTCTTCGATTATTTAGAACAAGCTCGAGGTTGAATATCGTTTCGAACAAATTTGGAATATTATCTCTGTCTTTCAAGAACACTTTCGCGAAAATCGGTATCGTCGAGTGCAGCGAACGAGCTGATAATATCCTTGTAGCGGATTCGATCGAGATTAAACGGTTTAATCGTGGGGCTAACCCGAAAAGGTTCGAAGCGTCGCGAAACGTCGATTTCCTTGGAGGAAGAGGGAAGAATCGGGAATCATCAATCTATCGAGTCGAGTCGAGTGGCGCTAATTCAGTGCCCCTTGTCCCTCCGCTCCACTTGTCAAGACTCCAAGTTCGTGTACCCCGGCCACTTAAAGCGGCATTGTAGTAGCGGGAAGACAGGACGGGTTCGAGCAGGATCCAAATAAATAGGCCCTCGTATATCAACGCCCCAGAAATCGCAGCAGCTCGATCAACCTGAGCGCACCTTACATTGTCTCTGTAAGTCGAGCGCGTCCAACTTCGACGACCTGGATATATCGTCTGCCATTGTCTGAGTAAGGAAATAAAATCCTTGACGGACTGCCACCGAATGAATTCAACGAATTCCTCCCAGAGAAAAATTATTCGATTCCTATATATGTGTGTGTGTGTGTGTGTGATTCTTACTTGTCCGTTTAATTGTTCAATCCTAAGTTCATTTCTAATTCTGTTCTAATTTCCCTGTTTTTCATTTACTTTTGAAGACAACGAACGAATTACGAACAATCGAAACGCGTTCTTCTTTTAAAGTTATTTTAAAGTATTTCAAAGCCGAATTCGAGGGCAGCAACTAAAAAAAAAGGAAAAAGAAATATTGAAAAAGGGGGAAACGATGGTCCCGTGTTGTAACTAACGTGGAGCGAGAATTAACGTTATGCCAACGGCTAGCCGTAAAAATTAGCAAAACAGAGGGAGGATATTGGATATCTCTCGGCAGATTCGTGGGGAAAAAACAGGATTATTATTTTTGCATTATCGATTGCTCGCTATATTTCGATTCCTCTACCCGTTTCTCCCTCTGACGACGGTCGAGGGTGCCGATAATTTTAACGAAGAGGCGAAAAGAAGTTTTAAGAAGAAGTCCCATTCATCGGTCGGTCGAAAAAACTGACAAAACAGTTGATAGGACAGATACAGCGGGCGCTGTGGAATACGAATGGACTTTTCGCGGATGTGATCTAGATGTGGCCGCGAACGGCTTCCAACTCTCGTCTCTGCGAAAGTCGTCTCCAGGAGGGGAGAATCGAAGAGGAGAGAGGAATAATAAAAAAAAAAAAAAAAGGAAAGAGATATGAGAGGATTGTGGAAGAGGAGAGGGAGGGGGAGGGGGAAAGAATATCGACGAGGGTGTGGAAGAAAGGAAGGAGAAGGAAGGGAAAAGAGGAACGGTTCGGTGGAAAAATGTCATCGAGCGATCCTGATTTACAACGGTAGGGAAATCGGTGCGGCGAACTTCGTGTCCGTGGCGGAAACTCAGAAATTTTTGCTCGTGGGAATCGGAACTTTCATTGACGTTCGTGGTAGATTTCTCGCGCGTAAAATAAAAAAAAAGGAGGGGAAGGAGTGGGAGGAAGAAAGAAGAGGACGAGGCTCGATTCGAGGAGAGTTGGTCGACGAGAAAACGGTGGATGGAACGGAATCGTGGTTCGTGGACGTATAATATAAGGATTGTCTTTTATTGATGATTTTCCCTAACACACACACACACACACACATCCATGGAGAATAGATAGAAACGCGGTTGCGTGGTTAATGACCGATTAGCGTAGCAAGCTTACACGTCTCACTTTAAAGCGCTTTACTATGGTAATATATCTGGCAAACAACATTTGTCTTTGATTATCGTGGCCGGTGTTTGCATAGCTGTGTAAATAGTACCACGAGGCTCTCCTTTTGCCGGATACGCGCCACCACACGTCGAACGAGAGGGAAAGAGAGGGAGGGAATAACGTCGAACTACTTTTATCCCTACCTGCCCTTCTCTCTCCTCCTCTATCTCGTATTGTTTGTCCCAATTATTGCAAAATTATTCGCATATTTATTTTGGCGAAAACCGAGTTATCTCCTTTGAGAGCGTGCTAGAAGAATGGATCTAACCGACGGTAAAGGAACACTATTATCATTTGCCGCGTTAAAATGTTTCGCGTGCTCGCGCCACTTGAAAAACGTGTTTTCAATTTTATTCCATTTCGACGCGTTACGCGAAATATAAAAGCGAGCGTATCGAATAACGCCCGAAACCTTGTTTCCACGCGAGTCGAATTATAACCGTTTCCAGTGGAGGGGAAGAGAGAGAGAGAGAGAGAAAGATATATAGAAAGAGAAATCCGTGTAACCGATAACAACGAAGCAATCTGCCCCCAAAAGTTCGATCGTACTAATCGAGCGGCGTTAAGGGAGGAGATAGTGGACTAGGTAATTTTGCCTTTGGAATTCGCCGAGCCAACCTATAAAGACCTTCGATCTGCATGGCGAATAACTATGCAAATTTCTCCATAGGTTGAGCACAGACTTCTGATGACACGGTACACCGTTAAACCAGAGTTGCGAGAGCAAACGTGTTCATAAAGCCACGCATGACCAACACCGAACCTCGTTTCTACCCTCGTTTCCGCGCCATTCGCGCGTGAAAACGTGACAAAAGAGTTTTCCTTTCGCGCATACGTACACGCATCTCTCGATTACTTGCAAATAGTGCTTCGATCGAATCGAAATCTACGTGAGGTATTCTCCGCGTTGCGTTTTCGTTCGTTTATTCGTAAGATGAAATGTACAATCGAGGCAAAAAGGAAGATTTGATTTTACCACTTAGAATAGTTTCATCGATGATTATTAAATTGATTAAATTGATAATTATTCGTAACGATCGGATATATTAGATTTCTGGAAGATTTCAGTTTGATTTCTGTCCGCTTTTGTCCGCAGAATCGTGTTAATGTAGCTCCACGTTGTTTTCGATGGAGTAAGAAGATGATTCGAGAGAAGGAACGTTTATTTTGTCGGGGGAAAGAAAGAGGATTGGAAAATGTTGTCTTGAATGGAACAATGTATTTTTGTTACCGTTGTAATTGCCGGAACGATAAGTTTCACGGTACTTTTTTTCGAAGCATCACTCTTCATCGTCCGAATATTTCGTTTACTTTTCATTTTGATACTAATGTTAGTAGAAATGCAACGTATAAAAATTTATATACGCGAATAAAATTCCAATTGAATTTCCTTTTTTATATTTAAACGAACAAATTGTCCCCCCCCATTGTTCATATTCGTTCGTATCTCGGAGAAAAGTGCATTGGAAATACGAAGATTTTTAGATTTCTGTGTTAAACAATTCGCTTTGCGCGTGTCCCGCATATGATCAACGCGTCCATCACGCTCCGCCACGTCAAATAGGTACGAACGACGATTTAGAATAGCTAATGTTCCACGGTGGCAAACAGAAAATGGAATGATAGAAGCAGCCCGTATCGCTGTTAGACCGCGCTACCGATAAGAACGAATAGGGCTAACTCCGTCCTAATCGAATCTCTAATTCAATTTCACGTTACGCTACACTGTCGAATTACGGCTGGCCAGAAGATAACCAGAATATGGTTAAAACATAGCCGTGCTCCGTGCCCGATCCAATTTAACCGTGAATTCGTCCCGTGTTATAAGACCGCTGAAAATTCGAAGGTAGCCACCGGCGGAATTTCATCTTCTCGCGCAGGGAGGGAGAATCGATTGTTCGGAACGCGTATCGGGTCGATCCATCGTGTCTCGACTCGTGTATGATCTCGAGTGTCACCGCGGCCGTGCATCAATTACAACCGGGCCCGCCATCCATCTCGATGCGTCGCCCGTTACGTGTACACGCCGCATATTTCCGGATTGCGCATTCAAGTGCTTATGCCGGGTGAAGCGTGTCGTTAGGTCAATCGTTCTAATTTCAATCCCACCACCATCGACCATCGTAAATCCCGCGTAAAAGTTGGCAAAACCGATCGAAATTGTCAATTGCCTCGAAAGCGTTTAAACATTTTCAAATTTATAGCCATCGCCTCGCCCCAAACCCTGTTATTTTTTCCGATATCCTATCGTTTCTCCAACAACCCCTCCCTAATTTACCTAATGTTTCTCGTAGTTAAAATAAACAAGGCCACCAGTCGCTACTCGAAATCTCTCGAAAAATTTAAGAGAAAAATAACGGTGCGCTAACGAAGAGTGAACAGGGTAAAATGGGAGTGGACATACCGCATGCGGTGACCAATGATGGGGCCAAGTCTTGGTCTCGTGACTGCCCCCGACGGCCGGTTGACTCGCTAAAAAGACGACGCGTCTATCGGTGCTTCCGGTTCCGCTACCACTCGTGGTCAGAAGCGCTGCCCTCGCCCTCGAGCCACCGATACTCAACGTCGGCGACGTGTCCATATTGCCGCCTGTAAAAAAAAACGAAAGATTGCGGCCTCTGTTTGAAATTGCAAAATTTGCAAAGGATGGATGTCTAAATAAAATCAAGTATACGCGGGATTATATGTTTGAACAGCAGCAGCAGAGATTGGGATATTTCAGAGAGAGAGAGAGAGAGAGAGGAAATTTAAAGAAATTCAGCCTAGATTTAACGAAGCCTGTTAAGAACGATGAATGGTTCGAAGAGGGAACGTTTCGAATCGTCTTTTAACCGTGAGTCATTGCGAAATATTTTTCATTTTTATTCGTGCGGTTTTCCCCGTGCGGTGGATATTAAATAAATTTTTAGATAAAATTTTCTCCCCCGGTATTAAAGAGAGAACATTTTTCCGGCACGTTATTATATACACACACATATATATATATGTATATATATTCCCGCTGTAATATTCAAACGCGAAACCCTCAATGAAATTTCGGCCGCTACACGTTTCGATAATTCCTCCCGTATATAATCGTGGTATCTGGTAATATAATTAATTGCATCACGAGCATGCCGGAATATATTGGTTTTACTGGCGGACTTGTTATCGCGCGTTCATGAAATTATGGTTAACGACGGCGTTACAATGGTTGGACGAAGCGGCACCGTTCGCTCGGCCGCCTGTTAAACCGGCCGGAAGAAAGCACCGTCCCTCTCAACGTCCAAGGGGCGCAAATTTCCTTCCCCTGTCGCGGCGAGTCGCGGTCGAGTTAAAGAGAAAAGAGAAAAAAGAAATCGTGGCGAAAGATCGACGAAGAAGGAGGGGATGAAAGGATCGAGCCGCTCGATCCATTCGTGCTACAAAGAGTTTCGACGACGGGCGTAACGTCGAGCTCGTTAACTCGGGAGGATAAGAGGGTGATCGGGTCGGGGAGCTTTTTCGCAAAAGGAAGAAGGGCGCGGGAAGGATTGAAATCGCGGAGAAGGCGTAAGAGTTCGGTTCGACGAGGATTTGCGGCGTTGGAGGGAACGGCCCACGAGCAGATCGGAGCAGCGAGGAAAAAATAAGAAGAAGAAGAAGAAAGAAAGAATCATCGACGAAGGAAGGGTGAAAGAAAAAAGAGGAAAAGAAGGAAGAGATAAAATTTTCTACGATCTACGAATGGAAAAGTGGCCACGTACCCGTCGATCGAGCGTCGTTGATCGTCCCCTTGATCGATCTCTGATGAAAGAAGAGGGGAGGAGATAAATCTGGGATGGCGATAACTCTGATCTAGGTTGGAAAGTCGACGTTTCCGTTGTTCGGATACGTCCACGATCTCTTATCCTCCTCGGCTCACCACACTTCAACAACCGGGTAATCCTCGAGGTCGCGTGCACCTAATCATTACAGGCGGAGGAGAGGGGGAGGGAGGGGGTGGCGCTAGGTGTTCCTTAAATCGTTCCAGCACGACGTTCGCTCCTCCTTCCCGTAATTACGAGTCATTACGAGGGGGCTTGTAGCACGTACACAGAAGAGGACACGCCGTTGTCCACCTATCCGCGGGCCATCAACGAGCTCCTGGCGGCTCGATTACCGGAATCGGACGGCACCTGGACGATGATAACGAGGAGCGGCCGCGTGACCGACGATCAACCACAATCGCGTTACCGATCTTCGAGACAAGTTTGCGCAAAATGATCGTGATCGATTTCAAAATTGCCTCGCCGCGATTCTCGAATTTCCCCGCTGCGTTCCTGCGACAGGTCCTCATTCTATCAACCGTGTATCGTGTGTGGTTTTTCAGGTTAACGAGAACCTGATGATCACCTTGGCCAGCCAGATTCGAGTCCCCACGCGCGGAAAGTTCAAGTTCAAGCCGGAGTAAAATCACGAGTTCCCACCACTTCGTTCCTTCGTCGATGGGAAATGTTGCTCTACCCTTTGGGTAGAAAATTAGGATCGGTTTAACCCGTCAGAAAATTTATCTCTACGCGTGTCCACGCCTGTTACCCGATTTTAATTATACCGACGCTTTTCCCTCTCTCGTTTTCTTTTTTTTCTCCCCTTCCCCGAGCTCGTGTGCGCGCCACGCCGCACTCCTCCCCCCTTTTTACTTTAACCGAATCTCGACGACGGACCGCTCGTTCGATATTTTTATTCGCGTCGTAACCGGGCCGATGATACCATCGTGGTCAGTGAAATCCGGCCGCATCCTGGTCAATTGATCGTCCCCAAAAGTCATTTGTTATCGTCGAATCCTCTTTAAAGAATAAACAACCGTGTTTGAAACGAGATTCGTTCTTCGAAACGAGGTTCGTTGCAGGAAGGCAGGAAGACGGGTCTCTCGTTTCGTTCCCCGCTCATGATTCACCGATAAATCAATCCGCACATCTCTCGACCCCCGATACGATATATATATATACTGCTATCTCTTAGTTATCTCGTAGACGCGGGTCTCGTAGAATCGAAACGATCGACCCCTCCGTGGAAGCCCGACACGGCCGGAAGTTGGCAAGCGCCGCATACGAAATCGCGCACGACACTGAACCGCCAGGACGTCTAGCGCCCGAGGTGAGCCTCTCGCGGATTCGCGGGCTCACGTGTGAAATTCTTGCGCATGCACCGACGCCTTCCCCCTTCCAATTTCCCCTCTTTCCTTTCCTTTTCCTTTCCACCGCCGTTTCTCCTCCTTTCGGCAACTCTCTCTCCCTCTTCCTCTCCTCTCTCTCTCGTCTCGTCTCTCTCTCTCTCTCT